ATACGAGCTTCGGTAATTATTCTGCATTATGGAGAATAAATTGTATTATTCATCGATTGTAGGTGCTTATGAAATCAGCAATTAAAAAATCTCATTAGAGACTAAAATTGTGTCACGAATTAGTAATCACAACAATAAAGAATGTCACGTTAAACTTGTTATAAGGTAGGACGATTTTGATAATAATTGAATTAAATATTCGCGTTCAACGTTGATTAAAAAAACTCTATGGACAGTAGTAATGTTCCATAACAACCTTTTAACGATATTATAGATATTTTATTTTATGGAAAAAATTACGAAAGCCCTTTTTCAGCTCACAATACTAACTACGAAACTAATTTTATCATTGATTAATAAAAATGTCGATTATTTGATTGTTTAATTATATATATTGTTTCGTTAGTTAGGTTAGGTTCACCTTATCTAACTAAACAAACGATATATCGAATAATAATATATCGATCGATTTTTTTATTTGGATATTTGTGCCAACAGATACGGAAGTCTATCCGATTGTAGGAAAAGTTATTATTTCTAGACTGTAAAATCAACAATCAATAATTTAACATTTGCACCATTTATATCTGTACAATTTAACAAAAAGTGACTTTTATCGACAAAAGCAGAAATTTGGCACGAGGATCAAACAAATTTACACTCTAGGTTCTTGTGTATATTTTTCCTCATACTTCACCATTATTAAAGCTAAAACATCACAAAAAAGGAATTTTGACCAGTTTGTTGTTGTATGCTTCCTTCTTTATATTTAGACGCTTTAGTTATATTTAGATGCAATTCGTATAAAATCTACAAACACAATAATGCATTCAAATTTATTTCTAAAATGATTTAATACGTATATACATATATATTTTTATCTATATTCCGTTAATTATCCATATATTTTAGCGAAATTTATAATATTATACAATGGCAATCGTGGGAAATATCAAAAACAAAATTATACTATTTTTGCTAATCTGGGCTACTCTCATCGGGAAAATCAGCGGACGAATTTTAAATGTATAAAACATGCTGCGGTTTATTTGTCCGTGGAAGAAAAAGAGCAAATTTATAAGTTTGTGATGGCTAATATGTAGTCCTATAACGCGTGTTTTTAAGACAGCCGTTTTCCTGAAGTAGGAGGAAAAACTTAATAAGGGCCTAACAATCACTCACGACATAGAGAATGCCAAGCTGAAAAAGTAATCAGGCACAGAATCGTTCTATCATTTTTTTAACAGTTTTATAAAGTCCAAGTTCTATTAATACTTACATATTTATTGTAAATGCAGTTTTTACTGACGGTTTTATATTTTGAGCCAAATTGTATTCAACAAATTCTTCTTTCGTTCAAAGCCACAACACTCGACTCGCCAGGTCACACCGGGTGACGTCATGTATCACGTAGGACAATGCTATTCTTCAGCTGAAATATATCGTCGGTGTGATATCGTTGGACAATTAACTACCCTCTGGATCTGCGAATACTATCGGATGAAAAGCGCAGCAAACCTTTTTATCTAAACAATATCATGTTTTTCATTCCTTTGTTAGTTTCAGTTATTGGGATTTGTCATTATACTAGCTGATGTAACTTTTAATACTTTTACCTACGACAGTTTTTTTTTTAAGTAGCCGTTTCAGTTTAGTTCTTAGAATTGAAACGTTTCACATAACAGCATTGTTTACTTTCATAACAGCATAGTTTTACTCATACCAGCACGATTAACGGACCAATTCAAGGATTGAGAGAGAATAAGTTAAATTGTAATGATTCAAACATCAACTTATCAGCTGTTCAGGCCAATTTAATTGTTGAGTGTTGCAACTAGTGTTTAGTACAATCATATGTCTGTGTTACAATGTTTCGTTGGATCACTGTCATTGGCAATGAGAGGTTATAAACGAAAACTTAACCTCTCTTTAATTAATTATGAGAAGTGATGTTTAGTAATTAAAACACTGTCGTAGGTAAAGTAGTGTAGGTACGCAACACGCGTAATAGTAGTTTACGCAACGATTGCGTTAAGTGAGTCTTTACGACACGAGTAGAAAATTTAAGGCACGAGCCTTGGCGAGTGCCTTAAAAACTTCTACGAGTGTCGTAAAGACTATTAACGCGAGTTGCGTACACTACTTTACCTACGACCGTTTTTTAATTACTATCAATCTGGATTTAATTACTAACAATCACTACTGATAACTTTTTAGAGAGGTTATGTTTTCGTGTATTGTCATTGCCACTGAAAGTGATGCAACGACTTGTATAATCAGCTGATTTCCTGTAATTACGTGTTTGTTAAACTTCGTTAAATATTACATTGCTAGCAGCATTCTTACCATAAATAATATTGTATCAGGTACAATTCGGCAAATATTTAATTTATTTTTGGACTTCCACCAACTTAATTAAGAATACGCGAGTATCAACATGAACAAGTCGGATCAACAATTAAATTGGTCAACTGATCAGCTGATCAGCTGATTAGTTGACGTTCGAAGCATTACAATTTTAATTCTTTTCTCTCAATACTTGAACCTCATTGGTCCGTTACCTGTGTGGATATGAGAAAACAACGCGGATATGAAATGAAACTATGCGGATATGAAAGTAAACAGCTGTAAAGTGAAACTTTTCAATTCTAAGAACTGGACTGAAATGGCTACTTTAAAAACCGGTCGTAGGTAAATAGTGTTAACGCAATCGTTGCGTAAACTACTATAAATATCCATAATATGGCTATAATAATACCACTATGCATTTATTGATATAACTAAGATGTTTAACATGGAATTTACTCAATCAAAATGAAGCTAACTTCGTTATGAAAGACAGATAAGGGTGGGGGAAAGTGGAATTTTTATCAGCAGATTTTTATTCATTTAGCCAACAATGACAATGTGATGACGAATACACGGAATGATAATTATCGTATCATTATTATATTATTATATTATTATAATTATAGTTATTACGAATGATAATTCGCTTAATTAATGCGTCAATTAGAATAAATGACTCTTCAGGTGAATATTTCAAATACATAGGCCTACATCACAATGACATGCAGTAAATATCTATATATTATTTAGTAATGTTTCGATTGCATGTTTTTTTTTTAATCGTATTTTGAAATGCTATGGAAATATTTTCACACGTAGAAACTTGTTGTAATGCGTTATTTATTTGCTTGAGTATTGTTTTCTAGGAATATTTTGTGGTTACTACTACAGTTGATATTAAACAAATCCATTAGGAAATTTATAATGCATCAAATTCACCGAGTACGACTAAACATAATGCGAGCTATACCTATTATAGGCCATTACACTTTAAAACAGCTACATAGCAGCTTTGGTAATTCAATTAGACTTATCTTAAGGATTTCTTTTACAGCTGAGATGAAAGCAGCCGTCTTAGATGAAAGACGAGTTGAAAGTATTCCGATAAGTCGTCCATTAGTGGTGGTAAAAAATGATGGATGTTCCCCTCCCACTATCTCTTGAACCAACCGATCAATTCAGTACCGTAGTAAATAGCTTTGAAAATAAAAACATCACGTAAGCATTAATTACATAAGTAATTTTCGGGTGCCATTTAGTTAGTTTGCCTATTCAAAATACATTAAATGTAAGACATGACTCATATATATAAAGCAATTTTTTTGGCTTTACATAGGAAAAGTTATAGGTATTGGCCCTACTGTTAAATAATTATTTATTTTAAGGAGGTTATTACTTTGGATTTGAACCCGGGACTTCTTGGACCGACGTCCCGCGCTCTACTCGCTCCCCGTTTTTATTCAATCATCGTGCTAAATCGATTTGACCTATTTTGTTGTGCTACATTTGACCCGATAAACCGTTTCAACATTATTTAGCTCTAAAGTTTTCAACATCCTTAATTATTATGATCCAAATTGAAATGCATTCAATTAATTGCTTACTAAACAATCTCAGTTTAAGTAGTGTCATGTTATAAGAGCATTCTATGAAATTTTCTCTGAATTTACCTGGAGTTGCTAATCATAAACCCCCTCATTTGTCATTGATAGATATTGTATTCAATTGTAAGTAATAATTTTTCCAGATATAAGAGACCAAACATAAATAAAAGTGTTGATGACCATGTTTGATGGTTGACAGTCATGGATCGTTAAGAACCAAAAGCAGTTCACAACGTCCAATGGATGATAAACCTCACTGTCAATGTTAATGTTCTCTCAGCCATTCATTGTCAAAGTATTGAACTTCGCTGGTTGTAAATTTCGACAACTTCCACCCAACGGTATTTGTTTCCCTCTGTTGTGGTTCGATTTTAATTACGATAATTTTTGATGGTGCAGCGAAACTATTATTACCCCCTACGTAGGTCTACTAGTAAAGAGAATGGACAAAAACTGGGAAATGTTTGCATTTGATCTTTGTTTTTTAGGTTTTGTAAATAAAAACGAGTTTCTTTTTACATTAATCACAATAGGAAATACACAATTTGGGTGTTTTTTGCCATTTTTTATTACATGGTGATTAAGCTTTAGATATACCTAATCGTTTTATCTTTATTTCTCTTGCATGCTCATATATTTTTTTATTGTTTATGTTCGTTATCTTGGTTTATGTATCTGTCAATCGACAGCTTCTCTATTTTTGTTACATCTTGGTGTTAAATCTGTAGCACATAATTAGTGTAAAGAGTGTATGCCGTTTTGATAAATAATTAAATCAATGTTATGTTGATGATAAACAAACTGGGGCTTCATTAGTACTCAAGTTTTCTGTAAAGCAGGCTCAATGCGTTCGGATACGTAAAACTACTCAACATACATAACATAAAATTGTCTGTGAAAGTTAAGGCAAATGAAGTTGAAGTAAACATTATTTGTAACATCCTTTACTTACCAAGGAAAGGAATGAGGTTATGGAAATTTATTACACTTAACATGATTTATCAAATGTTTATTTATGTTCAATTGTACTTACTTACTTACTCTTACTTCTGTGGCCATTGAAAACCAAGGTGGTCTTTGGTCTCTCCAACCACGTGCCTCCAGGACCTCTGTCCTCTTGTCGGCTCCAGGTCTGCTCCCATACTCCTTAGGTCCTTTGTAACCTCGTCAATCCATCTCATCCTTGGCATTCCCAAAGGTCTCCTTCCCTCCGGCGTACCTCTTATCACTTGTTTTCTCACCTCCCTCTCACCTCTGTTCAATTGTAGAAAGAATATAATCAAAGGTAAAAAATATAATATGCACATTGATTTAATGTTTGCTTAAAACACCTAAATCTGTAAAAAAAAGCTTGTATGATTGTAGAGGATAATATTATAAAACAAAAAGAAAAAGCACACAATCAATATCCATTAAGGAATCGAAGCAAGCAAAAAACCTCTAGAACACACTAGCCAAAACATCTACTTAAGCTGGTTTTAGTGTAGCTCAAAGTGATTGCAACCTGTTGTATTTAATACAAAATGTTTGTGTTGGTACGATTATTAAGGTTACTCTGATATTAAAAATAATAATAATAACTGCAAGTAGTTTTATTTTTTTTATTATAAAAAAATTCAACTATTGTAAACATAAAGGACGTTGGTTTTAATTTGGAACAATAGTTATTGTAACGTTTATGGAAATGCTCATTACAAAGTTCTCTGATATTTTCAGACACTCATTATTGTTAACCAGTCTGCTGTAATGAACACATTCCAAGAGTTACCTTTGACATTTCCCTCGGCGTTCTGACATTTATTGACCACCGATTTCATACTTTGTAGTGTACACGTTTAGCGGTTGTTTCATAACCTTTATGAATAGTCTCGCATGAAGTGCGTTACGAACGTGGTGTAATGATTTCAATTTGTTTAAATATAGAGACTTTGAGACTTAAATGATGAATAATTGCTTTTATTTTAGAAAGTAAGATTTTGCAAAGATCTAAGACCCCTACTGTATTTTGGAATTATTCATGTTACTATTAGCTTTCCCCCTGTACTTTGCTATGAGGTAGGTCTATGATAGCAAATAGAAAAAGGGAGTTCATCGAAGCTGCTTGTAAAATACTTTAGGCTCCATTAGTTACATAATTCAAAAGATATTAAATCTACAAACTCATTTAATTTTTTATGTTTGAAGGTTGGTAATATTATATTATTGAGTGAAACGTAAATTAGCAATTGTAATCTTTGTGTTATATTCTGCTATCACCATAGAAATCCCTCAATTAATTCCCAATTCCTAATTAAAAATATAGAATCTGTAAGACGAAGTTTGTGGTTAATGTTTAATTGAGAAACGTTCTTTAGTAGGTGGGGTTATCACATAGTTCCCTGATATTTCCAGAGCTTGTATTAATTAAAATTGGAAATCGGTCTAGATCAAAATGTCAGCTAATTTGTTCGCATTTTTTGTAAAAAAGAAAAACAGAGTAAAAATAGCGAACCGTCGTTGATTTATACACTAACCAGCTTACTTGTCACCCGTTGCTTCAAGTTTTAAATACAGTCTTGAATTTTATATTTTTTTAAATTGAGTTATCCAGCTAAACATCCTTCTTGTCATCATCCACTGTAGTAAAAATTATCTTTTACATACGACAAAAACATGTTTAACATTAAACCAGAATCATATAAATAAAACCTTGGGTGATGGCAATTAATGTATTACTTTATTTACTAGGTGTTAATACAACGTTGTTACTGACATCTGAGTTAGCTATCTGATCAGTCTGATGCAAACTAATACATTGAGTTTGGCCACTTTCGAGTATCGGGCGTCCCTAACTCTGTTGCCAACTTGAAATTAACACAGCTTTAGGTAGTAATGGTGACTGTAACTTTATCACTCAATTGTATATTCGTCTATATTGGTTGGGCTTTGTTTGGTTCTTAGAGATTTTTATTGTGTATTTTTGTTTATATTGGTATGCTTGGTGTTTTTGTTACTTAAATGACAAATAATAATTTGATTTAATTACTACTTATGAATAGTATTTGACTAAGATTAAAAGTTTAACTTACTTTTGAAATTGGATACTAAAGTATACTACACATATGCAGGGTGTCTCAGAACTCTAAAGCTATATTTTATCAATATTTTTTGTTACTGGCTAAAAACAAATATCTAAATATCATATTTAAATTGTACGGAAGTCCATAGTTACTAACAAAGCCACCATTTTTTTTTTTTTACTTATTAAATTTTTTTCTACTCAGTTATTATTTGACTTAGGCTAACTCAAAAAATTAGGTGTCAATAGATTTATAATTAAATTGCCTTAAAAAGTCATTCTTGTTATTTTTTTTAATCCTGTTTTTTTTTATATTTCAAACAAATAAAATTTTAACTGAACTGTTTATGAAGCACTAACAGCACCACGCGTTGGTCATTTTATTATTCGTCCAATGTTTGATTATGAAATCTTCAGTAATTAATTGGCCATAACATCAATCAGTTGAACGCAAATCTATCCACAGCTGATTTGGGAGATTAATTGTCGGAATTTTAACCAAACAAAAGGTTTCTTTTGCGACATTCCTTTTTTTTTCATTGTGAAAAACTGGTTCGGCAATTACTTAGTTTTCTTAACGTCAAAACGAAAAGGTAAAGATTGCCGGGTCTAAATCTTGTCCGGGAAATTTCTTTTCAAAGTTGAGGTGGATTTTTTTAGAAAGTAAAGTTTATTTATAGCAGCTTTTTAATAAAGTATTCTTACACTTACCTAAAACTTCACTCAACTTACATTAAATACTGCCTGGATGAAGATCTTTCTATAAACGAATAACACAGCAAACCACAGATGGTCTACGACAAGATCTAAACATGTTTTTTTCAAGGGTGGTTTTGTGGTATTCCTAGCGAAGACGGACGCACTTAAACGATTGAAAAAAACGAAACATGTCTGTTTAGAGCCCAGTAAACCAAGACTGGGTATTTTATGTTGATCAAATGCTTAACTGTAAATTTGAGGGTTAATTTGAGAAAATGTGCTCTTTAGTTAACTCATCACTAATGCAAAAGTTAACTAATAAATCGTTAAATTAGTGAAAATTGTTTTCTGTTTAGTGGAGTAAAAATGATTATTATCACTAAGTGGTGCTCTATACAAGTAATAACGAAGGAGCTTGTAATTCTCATCAGTGCCCATAAGAAAGAAATATATATGGAAAATTATGCTTTATTAATAATATTAGTTCTACCTTAACGTTATCTTATTTAATATACAAACTGGTATCGTCAACGTCTTAAGATGTTGGTTGAGGTTGACATAATCCAAGGACGGGACTTAAGCCCCTAGAACTCAATTGATAGTGGTAATTAATTACTAACAATCCCAACTGTGTATTGATAATTGGATTGATCCAACTACAATAGATGGCCTAAATCTTGCAGTATATTGGTGGTTTTTATGTTTCACAAATAAAACTTTAAACAAAGTCTTACTTTTGAGTTTGGTGACAAGTATTTTGAGGAGGATTTAAAAAATACATATTATATATTATTATATTATTATATATTGTTGAAAGTTCAATGATACATGTTTAAGTAATAATTTTACTCCTCAGGTAAAATTATGTCTAGGAAAAGTTCAATAAGTAGTTCGCTTAGTATAAATATTTAGTCTACAATCTTTGTGTTAAATACAATTGGTTATATGAGCAGTATGCAATATGAATGTGTAGATTCCAAAAGAAAAAACTACCAAACATACATAACAATTAATCAATAATCGATACAGCTACAATATTTCGAAATGGCTTCAATACACACAAGTTTATTTCCATGCCAAATAATGTTTGCTAATTATCTATGCTACTTTATAACGCTGTTTTGTTTTACGCTGAAAATATTTATGCTTATTTTGATTGGTAACTAATGGAAAAACAGTTATTAGTTTTTAAAACTTCATCATTTTCTATTTTACTTTTTTTATAAGTGACAAACCATTATAATGCTTAATTAATAACTCCATCTGAACAATTGAAATACCTTGAAACATTAGCAAGATTTAACAAAAGTGTCTTGTGAAAGAATTTATTAGCTCTGGTAATTATTTGATCAAGTTTAATTAATGAGTATACAATATAATTATTAATTGCTTTGTGGAAAATTTCGATACCGCCGAGAACTTCAAAGGCTCTAGAAATTTGTAAATGGCCTTGTCAAATAATTGAGCTGGAAAATTTCAGATATTCCATGGAATTATAGAGTATTACACGTTTTTATTTAAAAATTAGGGAATAATTTGTTGTTATAATATCAAAAACCCCTTTTTGTACTATTGTCTTAATTTAAACATTTAGAATACCATACCATTGATTCTTTCAATGTTTACAGTGCAAGGGTAGATGTATTGAAAAGAATTGAACATTTTGTTAAACAAGGGCGCATATGATCTTATTTTCATTATTATCATCAATGATTTTGTATCTAGGTATGTATTATTTTAATTTTACCCTGCCATTCTTTAACTCTATTACACTTTCATATTTTCATAAAATTTATATTTAAGATGGTATAGTTGTATTCAGCCTTATAACCAAACTAGCTGAGTACCCGTCCTTCGTACGGGGTTGGTATACAATGATTATTGTAGTTAAATGCTCGTGCTTTGCAATTGCAATGAGAGAGGACACGTTTTGAGAAAATTTGGTTTACTATAATCTACGGTATAGTATGGTATATAGAACATCTACCATAGCCATAATATTCTACTACTTCACCTAAACAATAGAAAGAAGTAAAGTTCTCACACTCAGGTTTTTGTTGCTGCTTGGTTCAAATTAGCTGTTAGTTGTCATAAATATATAAACTAATGGTGCTGCACCCTGTTGGTAAACCGTGTAACCTTTTAATAATATTGAATATCATAGAAACAAATGGTGTAGTTGAAACAGCTGACAAAATTATTTAATTCCTTTTAAATATGAATACTCATAAGGTTAACATGGGAAACTCCAGAGCCGCTGGGGCGGAGCCCGAAAGGATTTTTGAGGTAAGAATATGTCTATATGTTAATCGGGAGTGTGAGCTATCATCATACCAAATTTCAACACAATCCGACCAGTAGTTAATGCGTTATTGAACTTCAAACAAACAAACAAACAAATAAACAAACAAACACACAAACTTTCACATTTAT